TTTTAACAGTTTTTATTGCATTTTATTGTATTAAATTCAGTAACAATAAGCACAGGCGTCTTTTTTAATATGAAATATTTTGGACTAAATTAGAATTAGAACCACAATGTTATAGAACAAAATAACCTTTGTCTACTAAACTGTATTGATGCGTGACATAACGGACATAAAACTACAATCGTTGGATTAATCTGCACATATGCTGTCAAACGTAACTGTAGCACAATCAAATTGAAATAGATCTTTAGGGTACTGGAATGAATACAATAAGTACTTAGTGGTGTTATATATATAATATATAAGTAGTACTTTAGGGTTTACATAAGAACAAAAGTGCTTCCTCTCCGAGAAATAAAATAATAAAGTTTAAAAAAGCTGCTATTTTTAACATTTTTTCAGCTAACGGAAATTTGAAAAAGAAGTGACTGAAACAAGATCTAGTCTGATATTTTCCACCAAATATTTTCCAAGACATTTTTCATTAAAAATTGTTGAAAACTTCTGTTGAAAATGTGTCATTTTTATTTCGTACAGGGTACCTACAAGACCCTATTACATTTTTATTAAATTGATTTAAGTATTTGTCCATATATCTGCAACTGGTGTTGAGGGGACTTATTTTACCACTTATTAAGGAGGCAATATATCCAGGTAAGGTGTATACTCAAACATTAATTTGAATATCACCTTTAGTTTGAAAAATATAAAAAATTGTAAATTTTTTGTTAGACTTCATTACCCTGCAACCCGAAGTGAGATTATTTAAAAAAAAATCATATTCATTAAACCCATCTACATAATGGTTTGATAACCATGTTTGGTAGTATTTGATAATATTATTTTTTTATTAAATGATAATGTTTCATTTAATTTTTTATTTTTTTCTTGTATATTATTCTTATAGTGATCTCTCTATATCATTCCTGAACGCTCTGATTTTTGGCCGAATTTTTTCACACCAAAAACTGTACTTTTGAATAAAACGTCAAATATTTTATTCAAGAAACCTATTTACGATTTTTATTATATAAAATTTGAATACTCCTCTGTACTCAGTTCCTTCTTAAATGGATATAAATTAAATTGGTAGAAATCGAAAAAATACAAATTTTATCAGGGTGTTCATTTGAAATGCACATTTCAAAATTAGGTACACATCACCCAATATTCTACTAATCTGTATTCTCAGTTTTAAATAGGTTTGACAAAATTGTAATGTCGGGCTTTTTTGCTTAACATTTAAATATAAAATTAGGTATGTTTATTTTCTGAACGTTATTGGCATAAAATTCATAGAAAAAAAATACATTCGATTCTATAAGATTAATGGATATATTGTGACTATCCTTAGCTGATAAGAACAACAACAATTAAATAAATCTGACCTCTGGTTCATAATATTCTATCGCGGATCTGACCTCAAGATTATTATAAATAAATATTTTAATTAGAACAAACACTTCAATTTCAGACGTTTATCGTCTTTATTGTTGACATTTATTTTAATTACAACAACATTTTTATTAGAATTAGGAAACACTACGTGACCTAATAAATAAGGAGTTTTCCTTCATCTATCAATTGAAGGGATCCATGGCCTGCTGAGATTTTTTAGAAGCGATTTTTGTAAAATAACTATTAAGGATTTTTTAAATAACATTATTACTACGTAACAATAACCAGCTTCACCTAAAAGCGCCTGCATCTCATATTCAATCGATTTATAATGAGAATAAATCTAGGAGGTTTTGAAAGTGCCTGAAAATAAAAAAATTAACTGATTACTGATACTGCTGGTTATAACTGGTAAATAGAAGAGACTGTATGTGTAATTATTTTCATTATTTTAGGTAGAACCTTATATTTTCATAATTTTAGATCCAAAAGTAAACATTATTTGCCAATAATTGTAATCGCCAATTTGATAAATTTTCATCTTAAATGCCTTTGAGATATTACAACTGAAATAAAAACTATACCTATGTTGAAACTGAAATAAAATTTGTAATCTGTACAAAAAAAATATTTTACGTTACTGGTCTATGAAATTTGAAACATAGGGGTTTTAAGAGATGTTGATTACGACTTCATAACAAGGATTTTAATGGAAAATCCCTAGAGTAGTTTTCTCAAACATTGCGTGCTCGTGTACGTGGTTCATCAAATATTTACATCTAGTGGCCATAAAAAGTGTGAGTCAAAAAAAAAAATAGAGGGGTGTCTTGGTTCTTTGTGGGTCACAGTGTATGAACAATGAACTGTACAAGAAAAAACAGCTATATATAGTTAAAATAAATGTTCACTGTCCTAAATTTATACCAACAACTTTTAAAAAACAAAAAAAGTGAAAATGAGGTCACACTGCTTGCAGTAAGGATACTGTAAATACGTTCACATATAAACTTTATGTACGACAGCAGATTAATAATGTTTAACAGAATGGACAGGCGCCTTTCCTATTTTATTCTTTCATTGGAAAAATTATTATTTAAAGAAAAGCCAAAGAAATTTGCATGTTAGTGTGTATAAAATTTTTATTAAAATCTTAGCTGAGCGCTTTCGACTACATAGTCATCATCGGAGCTATTCCTAAAATATCAACAAGAGGCTGAAATGACGTTATATAAAGCAAAAAATTTTTACTTACGTTAAATTTTAGATACCAAAAAAATATTTAGGAAACGTTGAAAATCTTAATAAGTTCGACATAATAATATACAACATTATATATAACATCAATTACTGGTAAATAACAAGAGAAAGAAACAAAAATTGACTAACAATGTCGAACACGTGGAGTGAAATAAAGTGAAGTTAAATGTTAAATGAAATTGAAAATTGACATTCTACAATTCTAAGGATTACCAACTAAGTGAAAACAAAAATTTTTAAAGTTAAACTACCAATATACTAATAAAATTTCAGCTGTGAATTAATGAGATTCCCAAAGATACTTGAATAAAGGTTTAAAATTACAATTTAAATTGACTTGAGTATTAACACAGTTATTAGGATTTCTTTTAATTTCTCTTAGAATTTCTAAGTCTTCCAATAAATTAATTTTATGAAAATCAAAATTATTATGAATATTATGAAGAATTTTGCTATTGTTTAAAGGTGAAAATGAATGGTTAGTAAAATTAATATGATGCCCAAAAGCTGACTTTTAAGTTCTTTTTAAATGTTCATTAATACGAATATTTAATGATCTAATGGTTCTACCAACATAGGTGACGGGACAATCATTACAAGATAACAAATATATACCGCTATTTGACAATTTATCCATTTTGAAATATTATCCAAAATACTATCTAAATAAGATAAATATCTAAAATTGTAATTATTATCAATGTTAACATTTTGTGAACGAAAAGCTAAATTTCTATTTTTCTGAAATAAAATTCTATTAATAGTTCTCTGTACAATATCAGGAGAAAAATCATTATTAATACATAATTGTTGCAATATCTGCACTTCCTTATTGAAATTTAAATTTGATATTGGTATATTTAACAATCTATGAACGTAGCAGCGAATGACTGCCATTTTATGTTGAAAAGGATGATTGAAATGCCTTGAAATGAAATGATCAGTTTGAGTTGGTTTTCTATATATGGAAAATTATAAAGAGCAATTATGTTTGAAAATTTTTAAATCTAAGAAATTTAATTCATTATTATGTTCAATTTCTAATGTAAAACTAATAGAGGAATGAAATTTATTAAGATCAGTAAGAATATTATCAAGAATTAGCAAATTTAGAAATTAAAGAAAAAGGAGTATTTGTAAAACTAACTACCGGTCTAATAGGAAAATTGATTTTATGGATTTTTGGTAAACCGTATAATCTAGGGAGAGAAGGGTTAGATAATAATTTTTTTTTAAAATTAATGTCACCAAAGGAGGACTTGTGAACAGACAAAAATTTTTTCAAATCTAATATCAATTTATTTAATGGGTTTCTATCCAAAATTGTGAAGTTATTATCAATTAAAAAATGTTCTGTTTTACTAATATAATCGTTTCTATACATAATAATCAAACAATTACCCTTGTCAGCCTTGACAATAACAAGATTGTTCACTTTAACATTATTCAAAATCTTATTACCAATTGACTTTTGTTTATAATAATTAATCTTACAATTATTTTTATTTTGTTTAAATTTTAAGATATCTTTTTTGAGAGACACAAAACAACTATTCTTAATAACAATTTTAACATCATCATTAAGTCTTACACTTTCCAGAATAGAATCAACCTCGACTGTAAGTTCATCTAACAATTTATTATCCAAATTAGCTTTCAAACCAAACTTCAAGCCATTACCCAAAAAGTCCAATTCCTCCTTGGAAAACACACAATTAGTTAAATTTTTAAAACTATCATGAAATTTAAAACAATTTTTAGAAAAGGATCGCCCACCTACCTCGTTGGCACCCCCATCAGAACACTTATTTAATAAATTTGTAAGTTTGTTTTTAACTCTGTCAAATTTGTTTCTTTTAATAACTATTAAATCATCTCTATGTTGATTAATTGTATCTTGGAAAATCTCATATGGGACAGACTGTATAATACTATTAAATAAAATCTTAAGTTCAATATTAATAGAAGCTAGACGAGAGTGATGTAAACATAATTCTTTCTTCAATAATTTCCTTTCCATCTCCATTTTGAATGAAATTGGTACATTTTTTGAAGTTTTACAAGTTGCAAAAACTGGAATAATATTCTTTAAACATTGATGTATAAACCAAATATCAATGTTGATTAATTCCCTCTGTGTATTATTTTTTAAATTATTATTTGTTTTTTATGTGGAAAATTAATGTAAAATGTACGATTTGTATAATTTCTATTCTTTGACATTTTATTTAATTTATAAGACCATCACAGCTTGTGCAAGTATTTAAAAGGTTTAAATGTATGAATTTTGAACAAAACAAAAATTCGAAAGTAAGGTGAAAAACAAATGTGTTATATTTTTGTTTCAGTGATCTCTTCAATAACCATGATCCATTTTCGCACGCGTGGACATGGGCAAATCCACACTACCATTCCAAAAACTCCCTAGGATCCAAATCAACGAAGGATCGCGAGCCTCTGTCTCCGGACTATAAAGATCCCGTCACTTCGAGTTCAGATCAGAAACCTGTTCTCCAGCCGAAACCTAATAATCCTTCGACTACGACAAAAAGTCCCGTAAATCCTGTTATCCCCGGTGGAGTTATTGACGTAGACGCAAATGGAGGCTTTCCCACTTTGACAAGTTCCTTCGGACCTGAATTTGACTTTTCCTCGTCGTTTGGGCTGAATTCCAAACCTTTTGGGATCGGCGATCTTTTTGGGGGATTTGCAAGATCACAGTGGTGGAAAGGGTAAGTGCCTTATTTGTAGAAACAGGCGTAGTATTTGAAAGTTGAATAATATTGCAATATTAAAATTTTCTGTAGAGAGTAATATAGGTATACGCTTTTTCCTTGAGTGAAATCATTGTTAGGTTTCACTTACAACAAAAATAATAATAAAAATAATAATAAATCGTGTTATTACTATTATGGATGTGTAAACATACTGCTTGGTCAAACTTTAATGGTTGATTCTACACCACAATTGGACAAAAAATTGTTCTTGTAATTTGTCCCACGAGTGAAGCAATTTAATTCATTTGGCGTTTCTCATTATCTTCAAAGTATAACTTTTTTGTATGCAAGGACATAGTTTGGATGATGCCCTTAATAATTTTCACTTCAAATTTGATTTTCTTGAAGATATTGGATTACTACGATAGAACATTCAAAGCTTTATTATTATTATTATTTATCAGAAAATAATATAATTTGTCTTACTAAGGTAGCATAATAATTATCAATATATTGGTGGCAGAAATTTTGTTTTCCTAACTTTTTCGAAAATTACAGTAATTGATATTACGAGTAATTCCAGAATATGAGAAATAGTTTAAATAGTACTAGGTAGTTTAAGAAGTGCTTGATTAGAAATTCTACATGTGTCTTAAGTCCATGTTGTAACTTCAGAAGGTTATTTCTTCGATAATTTTAGATCATAAATAAAATTTAAAAAGTAGATAGGTACAGTTTGACATAACTTGATGTAACTTCATATAATTACTTAAAAGCAAAATTTTTCTGAACTGGTATACAAATCTGTCATTAGTGGCGAAAATACTAGACACTGTCCTAAAAACCCTAGAATTTCGACGTCACCGAATGTTGTCGAAATTATATTAGAGTAGATAAGTAGATATTTAATTTGTAATGTTATTTTTAAGGAAAAAGATTTACTTTTAAGAGTTACTACTTTTTTAAATTTAAAATGACTATAACTAGTGGTTGATTTAATCGAAATTAATTACGTTTCGTTTATCACAAAAAAATATTGAAACATTGTTTGTTGCAAAATATTTTTCACTACCATGTAATCATCAAAAGTCCAAAAAAATCGTAGAAATTTTTAATTATTTGAAAAATATCGAGAAGGCATAGTCATTTCTAGGTCAACGATTTTTTTTATTTAAAATTATATTTCGAACATAATATTCTATACGTTTTTTTTTGGGAAACGAATAATTTAAAAGATGTTTTATTTTTTCAACAAGCTTATGTGTTATAAACTTTTTATAACTAACATTACAAGTTATTTATCTAATTTTAAAAATATAGATATTCAATGCATTTAATTTTCTTTTACTACAGTTTTGGAGTATCTCACGATTCACTAGTCACTAGATGGATTTGTATATTAAATCAGTGAATTTTTGCCCTTAATAATACTATATGTTGGGATATATTTGAGTAAACATGATATTCTTTAAAATTCTATATCCTGTAATTCTAACAAAAGGCTTTGGAAAGAAGTACCCACAGAGAACGAATGTTTTTTACTTCAAAACTTTTCCAATATGCGCTTTTTTATTGATACTAAAAAAATAATCTTATAAGTTAGGTTTTTTACGTAGTACATACGAAAAAAAGTAAATCGTAAAAATGGTCCAATTAAAGTTATCTCCGGTCAAGTAAAATTCATTCGCTGCCTCTAGACTTTATACACTATCTTAATTAAGACTTTTTGGTTTAAACGACCCAATCAAAAAAATGGAACAGTTTTTGCAGGCATTTTTTATATACATTAAATATTATTTTCTCAAAATCACGTTCTCCTGCAACCCATTCAATAACTGTAATTTATCAGAGACACTCTGTATCTGTATCATCTCCCGTTGCGTACTAATTTACTAGTTCAGAGAACGGTTGCTACGGACGATGATTTAGCATCTTTTGTGACAAACCAATTTGCCGTTTCATTCATTTTTTAGTATTTTTACGCCCTGATACCCACATCATTAAGGTAACCTCTTTTTTAATATGCAAAAGTAGGTTGAGCCTGCACAACTTAATTGCTGAATAACTAACTGTCTAAATATAATATAGACAGGAGCTACTAATTTTATACCCGTATTTTCGTCTGCCTCCTAATTTTGCATAGTAATAATCTGTATAACATGCTTTCTAAATATTATACTTTTATTTACTAGACTTGCTACGTTCTTATAATTATAAACAAACACTATAATTCTCTAATTAAAGATATATTATTATACACTGCTTTGAACTCAGAAATAATACCTTAGAAGTAAGTATACAAAGTTTGTACTACTAATATAGCTCATTTTATACACTTTTTTAATAAACACTCTTTCGTCACGTTCTGGTTAACTAGTGTATGGAATAGGTACTTCCTACGGTAGATGATTTAGCATTTTTGCACAATCTATTTGTCAAATCCGTCCTTTTTGCACCTTTCATACTCCAAGACAAGGAAACTAATAAATTGATAAACACATACAAAAAAGTAGGTTGAGCCTGTATAATTTCATTGCTATAACCATGGTCCTCATATAATGATTACCTATATTTTTCTGTACAATATCCTGCTTTCAAAACCGTTGTTGTTTTCAAATGGCTATTGCCTCTTCACAAGGTCAAATCATTAAACAATCTACTACGGCAATAATCGATTTCGATTAAAAATCGTTGCATTGTTCTTTTAAATCTTAAAAGAAGAAATGATGATCTATGTTTAAACTGACTTAATCTTTTTCTGAGAGAATAAAAACTCCTTTATACATCTTTTAAGTTTCACCAAGAGCTAGAAAGGTAGTCTGTCAACTATACCAAACATTGAGAAAACTGGGCAATCCTTTTGTAATCACGAGTACAACTGTTAAAATCAGGTCATTATTTACAATGTACGTCCCTGCAAAATGTATAGCATTTCAAAATAACGGAAATTGTTTTATTTATTCACTTCCCTTCACAGTGAATATGAAGAATGTAGTTTTTATGTATAGGTGCAATATTAATTTCATTCCATTGTAAACCATAACAAAGAAATGAGTATTTCGAAATATAGGAAAAAATAAATATTTCAATTTACATTTTGCATTACTATTTGATTGTATCGACATAATGTTGGCAGAACTGAGGATTTGAGAAATCAGTAGTAATGAATGAAATTATAAGTATGTAGGTATCACAGTATATTGATTAGTATACTGTGGTAGGTATGTAGAGAAAGTACGAGCGGATTTATAGCAGAATTGGTAAAAAATGTAGAACGTGTTTGTAAGCAATAAATAATTACAGGTGGTTAATATGTGGTTCGAATTGAGCAATCGCTTTGGTCAGCAATCTAGATCACAATAGACAGGCAACGTTGGTTCCACGTTCTTCTAGAATCTCATTAATATTATAAATTAATTCAAGTGATTCATCCGCTTGGAAACATTTTGTTGTTATGATTTATTTATAGCAGTTTGCCGGTTGTTTATATGCTACAGTGGCGTAGAGTTTCAGGAAAATTTGAATTGTAGTTTATTATTTTTCTGGATGAATTATTGAATATAATTATTTTGAAATCAGTCAATATGAACAGATGAAGAAAGAAAAATAAGCTTAATAAGGCTATAACCAAAAAATTAGAAATGGACAATGGAAAATTACGGCCGCACACAAAATTTTCAAAAATAGACGGCTAAGGATACCGCAAAATAACTTTAATATATGTATGTAGGCTATGGTTATAGGGTTGTTTTTTTTTTGTTTTCAATAGGGATTTTGGTATTTTACCGAAGTCTTCATTGTCAAGACTTTGTACCTACATATTTTGTCTGTGTTTTGTTCTGATTATTTTTCGTTTGCTTTCTATCGGCTTCTGATATGCAGCTATATCTAATAACCCGTTGCCAAAAAAATTAATTTGATTTCAAATTATCTGTAACACAAGACTATTGTGCACTAGTGCAGGTTTTCTATAATATATTAGGTGTATATTTATGCATTCTATTGCTCTCGATTAAGAAATTTTCGATATATGTACACACACGACACTGCACAAACGGTTTATATTCTAGAAAGTACTAGTAATATTGTCAGGACAAAACCGTGTTAAGTTCAAACCGTAGAAACTTGACCTCATATTAATAACAACCTATAAATAATTGATTTTTATATATCTACAGCACTTTAACTCATTTGAAATTAGAAAGCCACTAATTCTCGCCAAGCTGTTTTTTTTTTGAGTCCGAAAATATCTCTTCGTACTTTCTTTTAAATTTTAACTAGTTTCACTAAAGTAGGAAAAACTACATATATTTATACTAGTGTAGCGGTACGCTACAATTACATTTAGTACCTGCCCCAATAAATATATTTTGCTTTCTGGGAATTTATGAGCCATATAAATTATACTTTGAATTATCCGAGATTATCCCAAATAAATGTATTTAGCAAATGAGATTAGAATAAGTAGGCTGTAAACATAAATTAGTTGTTGTTTATATATTGTACTTAAGCACAAACCGAGTAGGCAATGACCCGGATAAGTGTTAATTAGGATAGGGTAACAAAAGTAGGTACCTGGGGACAAGGTTAAAACCGAAAACATTTCGAGGCACGAACCAGAAGTCTTGAAGCCTAGTTCCTGCTCGGTTGTGTCTCGTGTTACCAGCGAAATTAGTAGAATAAAGTTTTCCATGCTACTTAGAGTTTTTCTCCTCACTTGAAGACCAAACCACTATACTAGATATGTTTAAAATCATATCGATCGTCAGTACCTATACCTTATGTGATACTTAACCGGGAAAATCTTTTATCTATCGAAATTGTTTCTAAGTGAGAGTTAAATCAAAAGAAATTGTCAGAAAAAAATCATATTCTATTCTTACATTATTCCCCAAATGCGACAATTTTGTCGATTAATGAAGCTATCAATATGAAAATGAGCATCATCGCTGAAGATGATTTTGTTCGAAAAATCAGCATCCATTTGTTGTTGTTCCATAATCCATTCAACGAAC